CCACATGAGCTTGGAAGAGTATCCGGAGTTCCAGATGAGAACACATTTCAGCAGGCACGTTGATATCAGCCTTCTGAGAACCTGAGCAGAGAACTCAGACACACCATTCCTAGATTTCTCATCTACGGAACTGTGAGCTAATAAAAGCTGCTGTTTTAAGCTGCTAAGTGTATGGTGCTTTGCTACATAGAAATAGAATACTTTTTCCCCAGTTTTATTGAGAAATAATTGACAGGCATCACTGTATACGTCGATGGTGTACAGCATGATGCCTTGATTTCTATAGATTGAGAAGTGATTACCGCAAGAGGTTCCACTAACATCCATCTTCACCTATAGATGCAATAAAAAGAAAAGAAAAAGGAAAAAAAAATGTTCTCCTTGTCATGAGAACTCATAGAATTTAATGTGCTGACCATAATAAAAGTAAACTTGGAATAGAGACGAAAGATAACAGGAAAATCTCCAAACACTTGGGAAATAAGCCACGCAGGTCAAAATCATTCATGGGTCAAGGGAAATTAGAAAATGTTTTTAACTGATCAAAAATGAAGTATGTAACATATCAAAATATGTGGGATGCAGCTAACATAGTGCTTCAAGGGGAATGTACAACTTCAAATGCCCATATTACAAAATAAGAAATGTCTCAAATTAACAATCTAAGCTTCCAACTCAAGAAACTAGACAAAGAAGAGCAAAATAAACTGAAAGCAACGAGACGAAAGAAGAGATTAGTGGAAATCAATGAAATTGGAAAAGGAAAAACAATAGAAAAACTCAATGAAACCAAAGCTGTTTCTTTGAAAACATTAGTAAAATTGATGAACTTTTGGCAAGATGCACAAAAGAAGAGAGAAGACACAAGTGACCAGTACCAGAAATGAAGGAGGTGCCATCACTACAGACCTAAGAGACATTAAATGGAAAATAAGGGGCTGCTACAAACAATGCCCCACACATAAATTCTGCAACTTAGGAGAAAACTGGCCCACTCTTCAAAAACCTGCTCCCAAAACTTATCAAGGAGAAAGAGATTATCTGAGTGATTGTATATCTAATAAACAATTTGATTTTGTAACTAAAAACTTCCTTAAAAAGAAGTCTCCAGACCCAGAGGGTTTCACTGGTAAATTGTAGAAACCAAATAACATCATTTTCACACAATCTTTTCCAGAAAATAGAAGAGGAGGGACTATTGCCCAGCTCAACTTATGAGGCCAGTATTACCTCGATACTAACAGCAGATAAAGGCAGTGTACAAAGACTACAGACCAATATCTCTCAGGAATACAAACAGAAAACTTCTCAACAAAACATTAGAAAACCAGAAACAGAAGTATATAAATAGTATACATCATCACCAACTGGGGTTTCTCCCAAGAATGCAAATATTGTTCAATATTAGAAAATTAATCAATATAATCCACAATATTAACCACATACAGAAGGAATACCACACGATCAATTGATGCAGAAAAGGCATTTCAGAAAATTCAACATCCATTCACAATAAAAACTCAGCAAACCAGAACTAACAGGGACCTTCCTCATCCTGATAAAGGACATCTACAGAAAACGTATAGCTAACATCATATGTAATGGTAAAGGAGGAAAGTCTTCCACCCCAAAACCTGCAACAAGGCAAGGATGTCCACTCTCACCACTCCTATTCCGCATCAGCCTGGAAGTCCTCATCAGCACAAGAAGTCAGAGAGAGAGAGAGAAGGGGCATATGGATTACAAAGGAGGAAAGAAAGTCACCCTTATTGGCAGATGGCATGATTGTCTTTGTAGAAAATCCCAGGGAATCTGCAAAAACACTCCTAGAATTGACAAAATGGGTTTAGAAAGATCACAGGTTGCAATGTGACACACCAATCTATTGTATTTCCATATGCTAGCAATACACAATCAGAAACTAATATTTTCTTAAAATAATACCACTTTCAATAGCTCCCAAAAAATCAAGTCATTGGATGTAAATCTCAAATATTATGTGTACGAGCTGTGTGAATAAACTACAGCTGCCGGGGCCAGCCTGATGGCACAGCGGTTAAGTGCACACGTTCCACTTTGACGGCCTGGGGTTCTCCAGTTGGCATCCCAGGGGCGGACATGGCACCGCTTGGCAAGCCATGCTGTGGTAGGCCTCCCACATAGAGTGTAGAGGAAGATGGCCACGGATGTTAGCTCAGGGCCAGTCTTCTTCAGCAAAAAAAGGAGGACTGGCAGCAGATGTTAGCTCAGGGCTAATCTTCCTCAAAAAAAAAAAAAAAAAAACAAACTACAGCTGCTGATGAAAGGAATAAAAGAAAACCTAAACAAATGGACAGCCTTCCCTGGTTGTGAACTGGAAGTATCAGCATCTCTCCAAAAATGATATGAAATTCAAAAGCAATTCCTATTAAGAGACCGACCTGACTTGTAGATCTAGAAAAGCATAGTCATAACTATTCTGAAAAAGAAGAATAAAGCTGGAGTAGTCACATTACCCAATTTTCAGAATCACTGTAAAGCTAATGCAACCACACCAAACTGGGATGCCTTACCTGTTGTGCTTAAGATCCAATTATTACAGCAGCAACTTTTGAAAAGAGAATACAGCTTTATTGTGACATTGATCTGCAAGGAGACAGGAGGCATCAGCTCTCAGATCCGTCTCCCCAGTGAGGGCTTGGGGCAAAACTTATGGGATGAAGGGCAGGACAGTCTGAAGTGTGGAGACAGATGACTACAGGTAAGCGGAAGTGAGGTAATTAATGGTCTGTGCAAGAATAGTCCAGCTTCAGGGCTCTTCATAGGACACATGGTCACAAAACGGTGCTATTAGCATGATCTGAGGGTGGAGTTTTCAGCCTCTTGACGTCAAAAGCTCACTTATCGGGCGTTTGTGCAGGCCCAGATGAGGAGTTGGTGGTCTCAACTGGCTGGAACTGGACTAGGGGTCATTTCTCAGTTCCTGAAAAACCACTCTTAATTATTCTGTTGATACGATGGGGTCAGTTGAAATGGTCCTAGAGGGCCTGTGGTTACACCACATTAGCAAGAGAGTGTGGTATTGGCAAACGGATAGACAGAGACCAACAGAATGCAATAAGGAGTGGAGAAAGAGATCAAAGAAAGAATCAGGTGTTTGTAATGGTGTCAGATTAATTGGACCACCGCATGCAAAAAGTAACTGATCTCAACTAAAACCTCACATCTTATACAAATATTAACTTAAATGGATCATAGATCTAAAGGTAAAATGTAAATCTATCAAATTTTTACAAGAAAACATAGGAGAAAGTCTTCCTGACCCTGGGTTATGCAAAGAGTTCTTAGAAATTATATCAAAACCATGCCCATTAAAGGAAACTTAGACTCCATCAAAATTAAAAACTTTTGTCCTGCAAATGACACTCTTAGAAAGTCAAAAGATGGATACAGACCCAGAGAAAATATTTGCAAATCATATGTCTGACAAAGGACTTGTGTCTAAGATACACAAACAACTCTCAAACTTAACTGTAATGAAAACAACCCAAATTTTAAAATAGGCAAAAGATGTGAACTGAGACTTTGCCGGAGGTAGACAGCAGGCAAACAAGCACAGGAAAAGATATTAATTCTCACGAAGCTCACCCTCCACTGCTGAAGAACCTGACTCCAAGTATTTCAATGGTCACTTAAGGTGCCTGAAGCAACTCAGGACTCCTAAGCCCTCATCATTCTCTCCCCTAGTGGTGCTTTTCTCCAAGGCACCCCCAGAACTGATCAGTCACCTGAGAGAAGAGGAAAACTCCTTAGACCAAAAGGCAGCCAGGTATTGGCTTCCCCACCCATCACACACAACCTCCAGCCAGCCAATAGAAGTAGCAAGACAGAATAGGAGGCGGGGCCTGCCTGGTCTCCATGGTAATCCCTGGCAGGTGGAAGTGAGGAAGAGGCTCAATGCAGCCTTGGTAGCACTGGATGCAGATGTCTTAATGGGGGTATTGAACGGTAGGGAGGGAATTCATGGGGGAACATGGTGGGAGGAGGAGAGTTAGAGTGCGTAGAGGGGGCATGAGGGGTCCAGGGAGTGTCATAAGGGGGTGCTATGTGTAGAGAAGTATGTAGAGGGAGGACGTGTTTCGGAGAAGAGGGAGGCTGCTATGAGCAGACAGAGAAGGAGTCCAAAGGGTCAGGAAGCTGGTTACAGAGGGACAGAGATGGTGCTGGAGGGAGACAGGCCTTGTAATGGGACATATGAGTGCACAGGGAGAGGACTTAGAGCTCTAGGTGCTCTAAGAAGGTCTTAGAGGAGCCAAGTGAGAGGTTATGGGGGATGGGGGAAGGGAGGAGCTTATGGGTGAATAGTAAGGGTCAGAGCATGACCTCACAAAGTCATAGGGACCAAGTGAGGGATATTATAAAAGCGACAAGCAGAGAGCTATTGGAGACATTAGAGGTTTCATAGCGTGAGAGTTTTATGTGGAGACAGTGAAGTTTTTACAGCTGACAACTGAGAGTGTTAAAGTGTTGAGTGAGGGTCTTCTTAGTAGGGTGTTTATAGGTGCAAAGAGAAGGCTGCTTTGGAGGATAATGAGGGTGTTATGGGAGCAAATTGTGATAGTGGGTCACCTGAGATTTCAGGGAGTCCGAGTGACAGCCAACAGAGTCAGTAAGGGATTTTGGATGACAGTGGAAGGGGCAAGAGAGACATGCTATGGGGTTCTGCAAGGCAGTTTTAGAAGATGGTGGAGGTTATAGGATACAGGGAAACGGCAACAGGAAACAGAGAGGGATTACAGGGCATGGGGATGTGGGGAACTGGGAGTTCTAGGGGACAGAGACGTATCAAAAAGGGATGGGGAGAGGTTAGAGGGGACATGGTGGGAGTTAGAGGGAGTCAGTGAGAATTTCAAAGGGGTCAGTGAAGAATTTAGAGGAGCCAAGAGGGTGAAAAGGAGGAGGTCAGAGGGGATGGTAGAGTCCATAAGCCATACTGAGCCATACCCGTTCCCTGCCCCCAGGCACTTGAAAAAATGTGTGAGGACTGTGGTGAGCCGGAAGACTCTGAGAGGCCCCCTAGGGACCACTTCGTGCTGTCACTCGTGGCCTACTTCCTGTGTTGCCCCTTAGGCGCTGCAGCTTTGTACTATTCTAACCAGGTGAGAATCTGCATCATGTCAATCCTCCCCTCCCCTCCCTCTCCATCCTGGCCCTTACCCTGAACCAACTTCATCCACGTTCTTCCTCCTGTGGGCTCAGGTCCCCACCCTGGGTCCTTACAGTCCCATAGCTGAAGCCCATCCAACAACCCTTTTAAACTCATCTGTTGCTATTCTGTCTCTCCTCACAAACTCAGACAAAACGCTACAACGATAGGAATGAACGAGCCTTGGCAGTGGTGGCCTCCCGGAGGGCCTTCAGATTATCAATTGCATCAATTATTCTGGCATGCCTCAGTACACTCAATGCCGTGTTGTGGCTCATAACGGAACAGTTATCTCGGTAACCTGCTCTCCAATTCGTGAACAAACCACCAAATATATACATCAGCATTACTCACATGGCTCAAAGTCTCCATTTGGGCCTGATGGGACAGTGGCTTCTCAATGTCTAGAGTGCCAAGTGTTGCCAACCTGAGCCAGCACCTTGAGGTTGTTAATGGGGTAAGGAAGTGTAGCTCAGGCATCCCATTTGACCTGACCTCAACTCCAACTCTGGGACCCTGCCAAGGGATGGGTGCCATAGGAGAGAGGGTACAGCACTGTTTCCCCAGGGCAGCCTACCCTCCTGCCCACATTCACACATTCATGACATAAATCTATTTATGCCAACCAATGGCCTTGACCATGCTGCCAGACTCTGGGGACATAGCAGTGATCACATCAGATCCAACCCCACCCCCTCAGAACTTAGAAACCAAGGTGGCAGACAGACACATCACCAGACAGTGACAGTCCACAGTGGTCCAGTCTCGAAGGGGGAACCTAGGGAGGAGGGTTGTAAGAGGCCAGACCTAATCTGGGAACTTGTGATCTCCCAGAAATCCAGGGAGTCAGGCAGCTGTTGGTGAACTGGTTAGAATCAGGTTATGACCGTAGAGAGCTTCTGTAACGGATATGGACTGCCTCCTCTCCCACCTCTCCCACCACCCACCAATGCTTGTCATTTAGTAATCATTCAACAAATATGTTCTGAGCGCCTACAATGTACCAGACACTGTACCAGGAAATAGGAATGCAACAGAGCAAGATAAGAAGATCCCTTTCTGATGGAGCTTACGTTCTGACAGGGAAGGAAACCAGAAACAAATAGACCTCTAAACACACAAGATAATTATAGGGAATGGTAAATGCTGTGGGGAAAACAAACCAGAATAATAAGCTAAAGCAGTGCCAGTACTAGTCCACCAAGTGTTAATAGTTTGCAACTCGATAAGTGCAGAAATTGCCAGTAAGTGCTTCAAAACTTACAGCAACTTGACATTTTCATGACATTCAAGTATATGATCAGAAGCCCTGTCTTGATGAACAGGGTATAGGGCACAAGAATCATTCCATCACAGATTGGAAATATTAAAAATCAGGTCCTACTCCACAATGACAATAATTTCAGATGCCCTGCGCTAGGTAGACAATGACATCTAGAAGGTATAGTGGTTAGGGTCATGCTAGCAGCTGTAACAGATAAATCCCACCATGTCAATAGCTCAAAAGGAGAAGTTCATTTCACAATCACAGAACCTGCCAATGTGGGCATCTGGTGGCCCACATATTGTGTCAGTGATCCAGGCTCCTTCTGCTTGGTGATTAGACCATCTCCTAAGGGCTCAGTTTCCTTGAATCCAGACAGAAGGTAAGAGAGCAGAGAACCCCTGCTTGGTTCTTAAAATGCTTGGCCTGAAAGTGAACCCTTGTACACTCTTGGTAGGAATGTTAATTTTGATAGCCTCTATGGAAAATGGAATGGAGGTTCTCAAAAAATTAAAAATTGAACTACCATATGCTCGAGCAACCCACTTCTGGGTATTTATCCAAAGGAATTAAAATCACTGTTTCAACAACATCTCTAGACTCCTCCTTCATTGCAGCATTATTCACATTAGCCAAGAAATGGAAACAACCTAAGAGTCCACAACAGATGAATGGAGAAAGAAGATGTGGGATACATATACACAAAGGTATATTATTAAGCCAAGAATTATATGAAATCCTGCCATTTTTGCCAAAATGGATGCCTTGAGGGCATTATGCTAAGTGAAATAAGTCAGAGAAAGACAAATAACTGTATGATATCATTTTTATGGAATCTTAAAAAGCCAAACTGAGGGGCCAGCCCTGTCGCACAGTGCTGAAGGTCACCCGCCCTGCTTGGCTGGGTTTGGGCCCAGGGCTTTCTGGTTCGGATCCGGGCATGAATCTAAACACCACTCATCAAGCCATGCTGTGGTGGCATCGCACAACAAAATAGAGGAAGATTTGCACAGATGTTACGTCACAGATAATCTTCCTCAACACAATCAATCAATACATGAAAGACAGAGTGGGACGAAGGAAGGAAGGGACAAAGGGAGGGAGGGAGGGAGGGAGGAAGGAAGGAAGGAAGGAAGACTCATGGAAACAGAGTAGAAGAATGGTGGTTCCGAGGGACCTGAGGGGAGGGTGAAAAGAGGACAGGCAGGTAAGGGTACAAACTTTCAGTTCTAAGAGGAATAAGGTCTAGAGATCTAATGGATAATGTGGCTGTGGTTAACAATACTGTTTCCTATACTTAAATTTGCTAAGAGTCGATCATAAGCCTTCTCACCAAATAAGGTAACTATGTGAGGTGATGGATGTGTTCATTAACCTGATTGTAGTAATAATTTAACAATGTATACATATATCAATTCATCATGTTGTACACTTTAACTATATTACAATATTATTTGTCAACCATACCTCAATAAAGCAAGGGAAAATTTATTTTAAATAAGTCTTTGGCCCTAAAGCGACATACGTCACTCCTGCTCTCAATCCATTGGACCTAACGAGTCTCATAGCCACAAGTGGGCATAGGGGCCTCTAGTATGAGGCCCCCACACGGAGCCACAGACCCTTCCCAGACTCTCAGATGGGGCCCAACTACAGGATGCCACAGAGGGGGGCAGAGAAGTCAGTGGCAGACAAGGAACCTCAAGCTGTACACCTGTTCAAAATGCAAGGGTAGCCTGTAGCTGAGGATTACCGAGCCTCCTGTGCCACCTCGGTCATTTTCCACCCATGGGCATCCTGGCTTGCCTCAGCTCTCACCAAATGCACCCAGCCACCCCACCCACTGAGGCTCAGACTCACAGCCAACACTGGCCTCTGGGGAAACCTATGGTGATTCAGATGCGGTGCCCCATTCCCCTGGGCAAAAGAAGCAGCTCCCACTCACTCCAGGTCCTGCCTGGTCCTGGGCAATGTGCACAACCTAAACAGCTGTAGGTGGCAGCCATGCCCAACCACTGTCACTGCCCCATGTCTGCCTCTGCCCCCCACAGACCCAGAGAACCAACCTCCAGGAGACACTATCTGAGGCCAGGTCAGCTCTCACGACACCCTTTATGTCATGCTTCTTCTACCCTCTGCACTTTCCTCAGCTTGTTCTTGATAGTCTTCCATTGCAGTCACTCGTGGACAGTGACCCCCAGATTCAAGGACCCCCAGTGCCTCCCACCCACCTCCCTGCCTTGGGATGGGCCCTCAGCCCTTCTCTTGACAAGCAAACAAGAGGCTGGGGCACAGGGCCTCCCCCGAGGACAGCAACACAACCCCTACGGTGGCCTCAGCATGCCTTTAGGCCCACCAGCCCAGCATCTGCATCCAGCACAACGTATGGAATTTTCAAGCTCCTGGAGTGAGGATTTTCTGTCTTAGGAAGAGGAAGGGTTGGGGAGAGAATAAAGTGCAGAGAGTGGGATGAAAGATTCCCCGACTTTCAGTGCCCCAGCTCTAGGCCAGGGTTCCAGCAGCCTACTAGTATGGGACCTACCGAGCTACACAGGTCTTTCCCTTACTGCGAAAGCCACAGACGGGGCAGCTCATGGGTGCTGCAGCCAGCCTGCCTGGGCTGAGGTCCCCGGTCAGGACGTTGTGCTGAAGCCAACTAACGCTACTGTGTCTCAGCTTCCTCACCTGCATAGTAACAGACTCTCATGGAGTGTTGTGAGGATTCAGGGAGTTCACAGACCCTGGCCTGTTGTGAGTGCTACGAGAGTGCTTCCTGTTAAAATGGTTGGTTGCAACATGACAGAGACACAGCTGCCCCTCCCCAGAGCAAAGGTGGTGAAGGCTGGTCTCCGAGTGTATTCCCTCTCCATTGCAATGCCCAACACCTCCACAGCAGGGACAGCTTTGCACCTGCCTGAACATGCCTGGGCTGGACTTGGAGCTCCTCTCCTGGCAACCAGGGCCACCATTGAGGTGACTTGCATACGATTTAGAGCACCAAACCCAATGAGCAGGGCTTCAAAACCTGAAGGGCCTTTGACCTGGCATTTGCAGCCACTCCCTGTTCTCTTTCCCCATCTAGGACATGCAGCCCTTCCCTGCAAAGGGACTCACTCCCATCACCATGTAGCAGCAGGCACGCCAAGGGACAAGAAACTTAACCACTCACACCCGTGTCCCTTCTTAACTGTCCAAAAGAAGGACATAGCCTTATGTGGTGGGGTCATGAGGACACAAGCCTCAGGCCTGGCACTGTCCCTGAGGTCATCTACGGAAAAAAATCTATAAGCCCCTCCTTACAAGGAATGTGTAAGATCTTACTATCTTCTCTGCCTTAAGAAAGAAAGTTGTTAATTGGTACAATCTTTATCCTGTGTTTTGCTTGTGCTAGACTCAATAGTTCTTACTTCTAGAAGAAAATCAGCACCCTCCTAGTGCAAGTGACACTAGTCATACGTTCCCTGCCCTGAGCTACAGTTTCAACCAACTGAATTGTTTCCTCGAAACTCAATATTATATCACAACAATAATGATTTGAAGTTGTATGAATGGATGGAATTAAACCTGACTCAACTTCTCTCTTTAAGAGTATTATATTCAGTGGCAGGCCTGGTGGCACAGCGGTTAAATTCACATGTTCCACTTCGGCAGCCCGGGGTTCACTGGTTCGGCTCCCAGGTGTGGACATA